TGATGAACCACATACATGACGGCAGTCCCGTAAGATTATAATGGAGCCAGAGACTTCCTGTTGCCTAGTGATGCGGCCATTGTCGTGTCGCAGCTCAGCACACTGCTCCTGCGTTTGCCATGGTGCTGGTGTGAAAAATGCCACTGGGGTGTGTACTTACTGTAGGGTACTTTTTATCATTATTTTAGAGTTTACTCTTTGTACTTCCAAAAAAGTAAGTTTGCTGTAAAACAAAGCAGCGTTACTCCTGTAGCAGCCTCCTGCCTCTCGTTTCCATGTCTCTTGATTGCTGGGTTTGTCTTCGTGTTGTTTTGTGCAGTAACATGCTGTGCAGGCTTGTAGCCTGGGAGCAGTGGGCGAGACCGTACGGCCTGGGCATGTAGTCGGCTGGGCCACCTAGGTTTGTGTTAGTGCGCTCCATGAGTTCCCACATCAACAAAATCGCCTAGTGGTGCGCTTCTCAGAACATATCCCCGTGGTTAGGCAGTGCACGACTGTAATTGGATTTTTAAAATTTCAAAAGATATCTTATGTATTTTTTATAGAAAGTGCCATACGTATATAATAAAAATAAAATTTGTTTTCAAAACTGTAAAGATTTGGATGGGATCCTGCTAATACTTCATCAGAGCCTCACTGGATTGTCAAATTCCTAATTACAGAATGCTCAAAGTGTTCCGAGAAATACCAGTTCGATTTTAGCAGTATATTTCCGAAATTATGTAAGAGAGAGGTCTTAATATGTCAGTGGGAACTCCAAACCGCCTGTAATTTTCTCTCACATGTTTGGAATGGATACTTCCTATCACTAATCTATAGTGATTCTCATAACCAGTATCTGACAAGATTACATGCTGATTTTTTTATAATTTTATTGTCATGATTCACTTTTTGTTCTTATTAGCTAATTTGTTTTAAATTTGGATTTTTTTTTTTTAAAGTATAAATCTTCTGTTATAATTAGTACTTGCAGTTTATGGCCAGTTGTAAAATTTTCTAGTGTTTCTGAGTTACTGGTGGCAGAAACAGGTTGAATTAACATATATTTACTTATTTGTGCTTGTTTTCTAGTTCATATGAATGTTATATACTTAAGATAGCCCACCACCCTACGCTGGCTGGATGGCTCAGTTGCTTGGAGTGTCGTCCCATTACACCAAAAGGTTGCAGGTTCGATTCCCAGTCAAGGCACATACTTAGGTTGCAAGTTTGATCCCCAGCCAGGGCACGTTCAGGAGGCAACCGATTGACGTTTCTGTCTCTCATCGATATTTCTCCCTCTCTTCCTCCCTCACTCCCTCCCTCTCTAAAATCAGTAGAATCCTGTCTTTGGGTGTTGAGGATTAAAAAGAGGATAGCCCCACCCCCAATAAAAGAGCTTTGGAAGTTAATTACTTCAGCGCGTTATTCTGCAGCTTTATCTTAAATGTGGTTAAATATTTGCAATCTTGCTGAATTCACAATGTTATGTAACTAGTGCCGTCCTCAATGGGAGATTAACAAAACGGCCTCTTTCATCATCACAGACGGTAATAAGAATGAATTTCTACAAAACTAGTGCACTTTTTATCTTTAAACCACTTTTATCTTAACATGCTGTCCTAAATTTTTATTTTGAAAGAAAGCATTTTGCATACTAGGAGGTAAGAAACATATGGAGGGTAATTATAATGAAATTTAAATAATTCACTTACATTTCTTTGCCAATAAAATAAAGCATGTTCTATTAGGTTTGGTTTTTTTAATAAGCTCTAAATTATGTCTTTCAGTTTACTATTATTATAAAAGAAAAAAACTCAACACAGTCATCTTCCCAAATCAAATATTAACGTTTTCCAACAACAGATCTGGCGATCATTCAGAGGCAAGTGGCATTATGCTTTTTAGATTTTCATATATAGCTGAACTGCTGTGGATCACCCCCAAATCAGGTCAGATACATGCTCTGCAGGAACATTTGCCAGAGGTGCTGCATGTTCCAATGGAAGGTGCTTGTGTTTCACATCAGCCCCATCCATTTTCCGGACCACTACATTTCTCATGCTCAGTAGCAGCACCTCACTCTGTGAACCATGGGGTCTTTATTAATTAAGCAGCATCAACAGGGCTGATGTATTTTCTCTCTTCTCAGTTGAATTACCAAGCATATAAATTACAGAGGAAATAGTTCCAGTGCTAGATTGTTCTCCAAGCCGGTCAGTCTGGGATGATCTCATCATACTGGTTATGTCAAAGCTCTTTAGTTGCAGTGGTCACCAGGACATAAAAGTGAACAGTACACACACAAATGCCCAGCCCAGCCTCACAGGAAGAATCCCAAGTTTTTCTTACAACAATCAGAAAGCCCTAGTTATCCATAAAACTGGCCACTATCATCATTGAATGTGTACTCTTTGCCAGGCACTGTGCATGCCTCACCTGAGTTTCAGAAGCGTTGGCTCTGGATGTTTTCACAAACGACCCAGGGGTGAAATGAGTGCTTGCAGCCTAGAACACTCTCTCTCTGCTGCTAAAGTTTTATTGTTTTCTAGTGAGCAGCTGTTATAATTGCACTTTTGGTGTTTAAGTATGTGTGTTTTTTAAATGTACAGAAAAGCATATTGTGAACATAAGATTGATCAGTAAATATTTTATGGCATTATTTTTGTATTTGGAGTAATATGAGGTGTTGCTTTATTGATAAAAAGTGCTTAATGAAGGTCACTGGCAAGGGTGACTTTCTAGTGGAACCTTCTAATATTCATTGTTCGGAGTCTACAGCTACAATTTTTTCTTAGACATTTTGCTTTTGATTAATTTAAATGATCAGTTTAATGGAATGTTTGTATATGGGCAATTATAATATTTCAAGCATGAGAATATAATTTTTTAAAAAGTCAAATAGGAAAGCATGCACCTGGACTTACCCCTCAGGTAATTGAAAGTCTCTTCTAACATATTGTAAATGTAAATATTAAAGTGTATATACTTTAGCTCCTTTTAGTTCTAAACACGTACTTTGTACAGGATGATGTGCCCTCATTCCACCTTGCAGTGGCATTCCAGTCCCCTTATGTTACACTCAGTATTTATTCAAAACGCTTTCAATTTAGGCAGCTTTCCAGCTTTATAAAGGCCTTGCAATGAAGCTAACCTGTGCAGAACCATCTGCATTAGTAAGTTCAGCCTCCGTAATGAGAAATTCCATTAAACCATTAGAGGTAATAGCCATGTGACTCACTGTCCAGAGAATAACGATTCTTTGTACCACTTAACCACACTCCAAGGTTGTGAAACTATGATGATGTCTGGGCCCTACTACCCTCACCTTGACTCTTAAACAGCTTAACCCTTTTACCCAATCAATCATGAACCTATCCAAGATCTTCTTCCATGGAAAGATGCACTTGTAATGTTTAAACAGACAGGTCGAATGATTTGAGTAGGGCGATATGGATAGAATTTAGAGTTTAGGATTGAAAGCAAACCAAATGCAGCAACAACAGTGAACGTAACCCTTTGTACTAAGTCCAGCATTCGTAGTTAGCAGCAGCAGCAGCCAGTAAAGCTAGTGCATTTTGTGATAATTCCTACCTTGTGTCCTATAGAACACGAGTCCCGTGTGTATGCTCATGGGGGCACGCTAGTGTGAGAAACATCGCGTACTCTTGGAAAGTCAGAAAACACCGTCATATATTTAAGGTCCTGGGAAATCCAAGAGTAAAGAAACCTGCGTAACTGTGTTTAACCTAGTGTATCTCATACTGATTTGACCATAAAATTATCTTCTTTACATAGCATTTATTAAAGATCCTTGGAACACACTTTGGAAATTATCCTGTAATTTAGGAGATACTTTTAGATCCACAATCTTATTTGAGCCTCAGGAGTGCCAGCCCCCAGAAAGATTTGCTCTAAGACCTGATGCTGCTTCTGAGGTTGAGTTTGGAGAGGATGGGGTGGGGGAAACTAAGCTAAGATGGATGAGGGCAGTGGAGTAAACCAGGGCCAGAAAGAACATCCAAGGAAAAGAAACAGATCACCCTAATTCCAGAAGCTGTCTGTCCAGCACTAGGCACTGGGCAGATGGCAGTGGATTTAGGAGACCCATCCAGCTCCAGGTGGGTGTTGATACTAGTGCTGAGAAATGCCGTCTACCAGGTAGGGGCATGCTCTGTTGTTTCATCACTACCCGAACATGCCCTACGCCTTGTGTATGCCCTTCCCTGCCTCTGCTTGTGACCTTCCCTGAAAAGCTTACTCATTTATTCTGAGCACATGTTAGGCACCGTAAACTCAGAGAAAAGAACCAGTTCCTGCCCTCCAGGAGCTTCACATGTCATAAGAAGGCCTAAAAATAAGCATTTATGATATAGCATAATAAGAGATAAGACCATGGGCACAGATCAGAGGAATCCAGAGGAAGGCTTGGAATCAGTAAACTAGGTTAACACGGTGGGCGAGGAAGAGTGTAGCAGAGAGGACAGCAATGTTGAAGAAGGTAAAAAACAAAACTTTCTTACTCTGGAGTGTGTATCTGAGCCCAAAGGCATTGGTTGGCACTGGATTTTTAGCACATTAGCGTCAGTGTCCGTTTGTCATTAGAAAGACCTCTTGGCTGGAATGGAGCATGAATTAAAAACGACCTAAGACAGAGACAGAGAGACAAGCAGTTGCAGTGACCTAGGCAAGAGCATTGTAAAGGAGAGGAAGGAAGAGAGTCCAGGGATGCTAGCGCAAGACAGTCGCAGAACTGCTGGCTGAATGAAGGTCAGGTCAGGAAAGGCGAGGAATCCAAGATGAATCACTCCCTGCATTTCTTGTTACCAAAGAAAAAAAGCAGAAACAGTTTTGTTGAACCTTAAAACACATCTAAGACTTATTAAAAAGGTTGGGTCCGGTTCCAAGTGCTTCTGTCCCAGGGGACCACAGCCAGGCAGGGCAGACAGTGTGGCTAGGACGAGCGCTTGCATGCGGGGTGGGCCCGCCTCCTGACTGTAACTGCCTTCCTTGTTCTCAAGTCACGTGACACAGACCACGTCCTGGATGCATCCCGTGGCGAGCGCGCTGAGCCTGTCCTGCTCCGAGGAGACCGCGGAGGACTGCGCCAGGGACGGCCCCGACCCGAAGAGCTGACCGTCCTCTGCAGGAAGCCGAGCGCCGTGGCCTCCCCAGCTCAGGCTCTGGGCCGGCCCGAGCCGCAGCCGTCTAAAATAGGAGTGAACACACACTGCGTGTTGAAGTTGTGAAATAGGGAATCTGGACTCAGGCTATTTTTTTAAACTCTTTGCTATAACTCTACACATTTACAAGGTCAGTTGCCACTACGGTAGTTCTTTTAAGAATAACCTAGTCCGATTTTTTTAAAATCATACACAATTAGATTTTTCTATTATGTATCCTTTTTTATATCTAACGAGACCTTTGTAATCTCACATACTGCTCTTTATGGAGTATCTGGTACCATGAGTTATAGAATTAAGACGTAGGTTAGACAGTGATATGAACGTAGTGAAATACTTCATTTACTTGGTAATTCACTAACCTTTTGTATTTGTATCTTAGGAATGCGACTTAGGCAAGCTTTTGGGTTGTTGTGTTTTTTTTTAAAGATCACAGTTAGACAACTCTCTCACAGGCTACTGAATACAGCCTGCATTTTATGGGGATTTCCAATTTACATAATGCTTTCCTGACCCTGTTTTCTTTAAACCCTCCAGCATGCCTGTGAGGCAGATCCAGTGGGTAATTTTTATTCTTGTTTTTCAGTTATGGAAACAGCAGTTCAGAGAAATGAGGCACCTTGTCCTGGAGCTAAGTAAGACTCACACCTGAGTCTTCTGATGCTCTGTCCAGCCCTTTCCTCTGCCCCCTACTGTCCCAGCAGAGGGAGGCCACAGCCCAGCACACAGGGCACCGTGGTTGTGTTGATACAGCTGAGCTCCACACTGTGCACTTGGGTGGCCACTGAGGTTCAGGAGGCGCCTTTTCAGTTAAGCATGGCTCCCACATAATCCTTCCCCCATCTCCACCCTCACCCCCTCACCAGGTAGGAGCATGGTTTTGTCAGGCTTTTTGCAGCAGCTCGCATTTTTCCAAAGTAAAGGGGCGGGCTCCTGTCCAGGATTTGCTCTGCTTAGGCTGCCCTCGCCATAGGGAGCATGTGAGGGGCGTTGATGAGAAGAGGGGCGTCCAGAATCCTGTCCGCTATCAGGAGAGCTATCCTTGAACTCTCCTGCTCCAAGTTCAAGACTGACCTCATTATTACCGATGTCACCCACCAACTAATTATGCTTCTGATCTTATTTTATCTTATTGTAAAGGATGCTAGACAATTTCTGGTCGGAGTGAGCCACTGACTTGGAGACCTAAAGATTTTCTCTCAGTCTAATGATTTAAACCCTGGGCTAGAAAATGGGGGCG